CTTTCGTGAAAATAAACGATTATAAAAGCAGAACAAAATTATGCCCGATTTAAAAAGCTTCTAAAAACTTACATTAATTACATACAAATAAGTGATTAAAATATAATATGTATATATATTTTGACAAGAATGGAGTAACACTTGAAATGTTTAATGTTTAAAGAACTTTAAACTAACACCACTCACGGTGTTAAAGAATTGTATCTAAGTGGTGCTTTATTAATTTATTTTGTAGTGTTCGTAGCTTAGAAAATTTTTTTTTTGCATGCTGTGCCCCATATTTCGGTTGGGTATGGGAAGTGTGGCTTGACTGACCAATTATGGATCAGATGACGTACAGATTACGGAATGCTTTTTGATATTGACCAAAATCTGCCTATAAGTGATTTTAGTTTGTAAAAATGTATAAATAAATATATAAATATAGGAATAAACTAAAAATAAAATAGTGTTATGAAAAATAATCAATATAAACTTGTTATATCCGACTATGCCATCAATGCTCATCTAGTAAAAAATCAAATTCGAACATCCGTGTTTTGCTTGGTTGACTGATCAAGTTTATTATGTCTACCCACATTTTTGGTGCTGTTCTGTATTGTTATTTTATATATGTACCTACATCTGTGCGCTATAATTTCTAATTTTTAATCTTAGTTTTAAATATCTGTTTCTCAGTAAGTGAATTTTGTATGCAATTCTTATGAGAAATAAAGTTATTCTTAAACCTTATTATATAGTAGTTTATTTTACAATTATTATTATTATGTAATAGTATTTGTGTCTCTGCGCACACATTTTTGCTCTATAGTATCCTGGGTACAGGGCACCGTAGCCAAATCGGCCTAAAGAACTTTGTTAAATCCTCAGACAGGGCAATTCTTATAAGGGTACGATAAAGTATTACACTTCTATTAAGACTGACGTATTGTTGATTATTAACGTAATATACCAAATCTGACAATTTACATAAGACTTGTCACGATGGTGCTGCTATATTTTAACTTTAAACGTAAATCGCCCTACATTCGCTTGTTGCAAATTTCTGCACGTGCAATTTCGTAGCGTCGTTACGACGTAGAGGCTGTAGCTGCATTGCTACGGAGTGCATGTGCAATGTAGCATTTCGTAGCGTCGCTACATTACCGAAGTTCTTGAACGTATACATTTATTTATATACTCAAATTTATCTTTAATGTTTTGTCTCTGTAATCATTTTAAACGTCTCAAAACATTATTTTACTTTTTGTACCTTTATAAGAAAATTTCCAAATCTATGGATTCTGAGATCGTCAAACTGGACTATCTGGAAAACTATCTGGATAAGATATAAACTCGTAAGTGACATAGTAATTACACTAGCCAAATGGATTTCGAATCTACAGAGGCATTACTACATATCTTGGTATGACTTTGAGGTTTCATAAACTAACTCAGACACAGTGCACGATCATAACAACTTTCAGCTACACTCTCAATCACGCGATCACACACTCACTCATTTACTAATTCTTACTTTGTAACACTTAATTTTTTTTTTACTTTTAACTGTTTTAAACATCTACCACGTAATAATTGTTTTCTAGGTACCCACAACACAGGGCCTCCCTATTGTGGGGACTAGATATATGAATTCTGTCATAACCCTTTTGTCATAAATAAGGTTTTTATTATTATTATTGTGGCTTATCTAAGAGTAATACCATAACGTTAATGTATATACACTGATGATATCATATTGGATATCTATTTATAAAGATATATTATTATATACCTATTCTAATGCGTGTGAATTGCCGGGTAACGAACTCTACGTTTGCGTTTATTTTTGTATCTATGTTTTGCCTAGGAGACTGGACTATTGCAAGCTTTTTATCAGCTGCAGTAATGTTTAATTTTTTTTCATAATCAAGGCAGAATACAAAATACCATCCGTATCACTACGACGTTCCACAACTGAGCGTTTCTTGAGGCAGTTTTTGCCACGCACCACCACTATGTGGAACCAGCTGCCTACTGAAGTACTTACGAACCAATTCGACTTCTCTTCAGTTCTTAGGCCGGCAACGTAATTGCGAGTCTTCTGGCAATGTAAGTGTACATGGGCGGTATCACTTAACATCAAGTGAGCCTCCGGCCTGTAATATAAAAAAATGAATATTGTTTGAAATCTCGTAAACCTCATAATACTTAAGGATAGTTGGTGTTGACTGGTGAATGTAGTCTCGACTCTTGTATCGACGTTTTTTATATACGGCAATCAGCTCGACTGTAAATATCTACAGATAACATGGTATATAGTATATAATATGTAAGTTACATTTAAATCAAATAATAGAAAAAATATTTCGGCGCCTATGATAAAAAGACAAGTTGTTTATTTAATAATTTTCAAATATTTTGCATATTTGATACAAAATGTCCTCATAACTACCCAAACAAGTTTAACAACGCACGTGACTATAAAAAACTATCAAGAGAATCAGCTATTACTAGCAATTTTTGCGCGCTCACTGAATCACATGCCGGGAATAACAGACAAAGAATGCAGTGTTTAGTTGATTGAACTTTTGTTTATCTGCTAAAATAGGTTCTAGTCTCACGTTATAGCACACATATCGTTTACTGTCGATGTAATTAATTGCTAGTTTAAGTACTCTTGTATAATTGCTACTTTAAGTTCACAACCAATACACAAGATCATTTATTCATATGAGTAACATAATCTGTAATAAACGTCAAAAAATTGTTGATTCTAAATTCGAATTTAATTAACTGCCAGTCCTAAAATTAAGTAAGTCATAATGCTACTCATGATTTTGAATCAATAACACGAATTTATAGTCTCTGGATTATAAGATATATTACGAGTGTATTTAAAACGTAATTTAAGACATTTAATAACATGATTTTGTTATCTAGAAATACAAATTTTGTAAATAATCCTAAATTCACTTAAAGAAGAATTCAATGAAATTATCTTACACCGAACGTGCTAGAAATACTACAATTCATAAATATTATTTAAATTTCAAAACTAACAGCTTTTGATTTATTTGAATGTAAGTACTTCATGGTCATTTTCAGACATCAGAAATACTCCTTTAACTTAGTTAGTACCTTTTTTATAGAAAGGCAAAAGGGCAGGAGACGTACCTGATGTTAAGTGATAATGCCGTCCATGGACACTGGCAGAGGGCTCGCAAGTGTGTTGACGGCATTTCAAAGTGCCCTTGCTCCTTTTATCTACGCAATGAATAATGTCTTCATCAATAGACAGATTGAAAAGGAAGATTTATAATAATAAATCTAACCATACAATTTTATTATTCCTTCTCACTGGCAATACACTGTGCCAAACCGGGACAAATCACATGTCACCGATTTAAAAAGCGAAAATTATTATGTCGATTAATATATTATCTGAGCCTAGTGGCTTCAGCCTCCGACTCTCATTCCTGAGGTCGTAGGTTCAACCCCCGGCTGTGCACCAATAGACTTTCTTTCTATGTGAGCATTTAACATTCGCTGAAACGGTGAAGAAAAACTTCGTGAGAAAACCGGTTTGCCATAGATCCAAAAAGTCGGTAAGTGTCACAGGAGGCTGATCACCTACTTGCCTATATGATTGACAAATTGAAATAGATTCAAAAATCTGACCTATAAAGGTTGTAGCGCCACTGATTTATTTATTTTATTTTTAATATGTTATCTAATATTTTTATCTATTATCATATAGGAAGTTTTAATGCAAATCTTTAATTGATACAGTATTTCTTATCTATGTATTGTTATTTTAAAACTGTTATCATAAATTTGTAGGTGCTACTCATCTGTATTACGTATAACCAAAGACAACTATTATTGTCTTTGGTATTACATTTGAACCATTTTCATAAACCTTAGTTTGATTTTAGTGATTCTATTTGAATAGATTTTAAAATTATATTCACAACTCAATGTCGAAACTTTAACAGTCCCCAATCTGGATGTACTTTCTATGCGATATTTGATCAGTAGTCGTATCATATGGCAGTGTAAAGGCAGATACACATCAGCGAATCAAATTTGAATAAACACGACCATCTATATATGTGTCTACAAACACATTTTCTCGGAATTGAAAAAAAATCTTATACAATCAAACTCTAACAATACAAGAGTGTATACAGCTCCTATTACCAAGCTATCAATTCAAGGCTAAAAACTATGGCTCAATATCGCAATGACTTATACGCCATGTCTTGATTAGTTGTACGAATAAAATATTTTTTCTTTAAAATAAATTTTAGACATGCCCTTGTACCAGGAATAATTGTCACAGGGTCTCCTAGTATGGGGACTAGCGATAGATGAATTTTGTCACAACCATTCTTCTGTCATTGATAGTTTTTTTATATGTCAAAATTTAGTTTTGACGCACGGTAGTGAGACAAAGTCCCGTTTTTGAAAGTTATTCAATGAATGTGTTCTACGCCTATAATGCTCAAACGCACTTTGTTGCTATGCGGCAAACTCAAATTTTGGCCTCCGCTTGGTCGCATATTACGTCATCGTACTATCGGAATGTAGGCATTAATAACCAATTCATTGAACCCTTGGGCCTCTAAAGATTGATAAGACAGCGACTTCAACAAGTTTAATATAATTTTGCATTATGCATATCCGTTTCTTTCTTACAAACACTTTTTGCTACGTTTTCCGCAACGCTGGCCTAATTTTTAACTCCAAGCAGGTGTTTCACTCATAAAATTAATTTAATTTTTTAAAGTCGTGTTGCTGTGCGATGTTCTCTTTAATGGTATAAAAACCTTTATATATTACCACAAGTAATAAAAGTGTATAAAGAAATCTATATAATGTTACAAGAGAATTTTAATTTATTTGTAGTTTAAAATCGATTATTTGAGTACAATCAAGCTATCCAGTTTGTTCATTAACCCAATTCAGTTTCAAGTCGAGATCATAGGAGTATTTAATTAGATTTCTAATTGACAGCGATGAGATGTCCTCAATCGGCAGCGTCCCGGCGGATGCTGGATTGGGCCAGTAGCTCCCGACTTACCTTGGAGAGTAATTATAATGATCGGCGCCGGAACCCAAGTCTGGGTGGCCTTCCTGGAGAGGCGTGCCAAGGGTGGCGCAGCAACGCCTACACGCATTCCCTCCCTCTCCAACCTTCCTCGAAAGCCCGAGGATCTACCTCGCAGCTCGCACTGTCTCGCCCACCCCGTAATAACCCAATTTGTAAGAACCCCCCGATTTCAAGGACGGCCGACGGGCTTATGGCGGCGACGCGTTGATTCCCCGACCTTGTTTATTTGAGTTTCTTTTTGTTTAGGAACTTATTAATACCAGGTTACTTTGCGTGTTGATGAAGTCGCCGACTCGAGTGAGGTTTCTTTGTTAATAGGTGTTAGTTCAGGTTTGCGAACTTCTTGTGTGGTTTGATTAAATGTCGTGCATGGACTAATCAAGCTTCCTTTTTAAAGTGGGAGTTGTGGCTAAGTATATGCGTAATTTGTTTAAGAAGTTGGGAAGTTCAAGGCCACTGACACCCTTATCAACCCGTGGGTCGTCTAGACAGTTAACACCTTCTACCCTTACAGGGTCCAGTACTGTTTATGTATTTAAATGTTAATCGCGAGATCGACACGCTTTTTTGTGCATCCATAAACAGGGCTAACGTTTGCTTAAGATATACTTCCGATTAGACATTTATTCCTCCTTATTATTTTGTGCTATAAAAACTATGAACGTGATAATTATGTGAAAATTTAATAGGTTCGAAGTACCTATATACCTGCAACATTGAGAAGCGGTCGGCCTTGGTTGAATTTTAATAAAAACATAAATACCTGTATAAATTTGCATATAACAACGATATTTGAGGCCCTTTGTATTTGATTGAGGCCATCTTTTGTGTACGTTGTTTGAAATAGGTTGGAGGGTTATTTAGACATTTTTATTTCACCTCACCTGCGTCAGCTAAACGTTAAAATAAACAGGCCTTACGCCTACACAATAACAAAGAAGAAGCCTTTGAATTTCGAAATTCGTTATTAAATTCGAATAATTTGGCAAATGTAGCGTTTGACCTTCAACTTGTCAGGATACACGTGTTTGGGTACTGAATGGACAGGCTCCCGGGCACCGCCCGGACCGAGGGAGGCTTCTGAACATTTCAAATTGTAACAATGCGTAACTAGGGAAAAAATTCCAGCAATCCGTCTGGGACTGGAAGGCGATACAAAGGAGCTACCAGTTCTGTGAATTCATTCTAGTTTCTTAGGAATTCATATCAAATTGACAGAAATTACGATAATATTAAGTGATTGTTCTCTTCAAAGTATCAAACTCTTCAGTATTTTGAACGTATATAATCATATTGTCTAGTCATGAAATGTAATTTTACTTTAAGATATTTCATGATTTTTTGTGATCTTCAAAACTGCTGAAATATTAAAATGTGTTATATTGCTCTCTCTTCTGTGTGCGTTTGAGTGCAGGGCGGAATTATAGGCCCATAACTTTAAAAAACGAGGTCGCCTAGTCTGGCTATAAGAAAACTAGCCAACGGCACGCACTACAACGCACGCAATTCCCTTTAAAAATCCAATTCAATTACAGAAATACATCGCTTGCCTAACAAAAATCTGCGTTTCTTGTTTGAAGTAAAACACCAATGTATGCAGTTCAAATAGATTTCACCGCTGACATTTAGAATTATAGCGATCTATCACACAGATGCCTTACGCAAGCAGTTAAAAGCGTTATTGCAAGGTAATAAAGTTGAATTTTCTTAGGGGTAAAAGGTGATGTTTTATGAGGTTTCCAAGGGTTTATAAAGGTTTGATTGTCACCTATATAATATTAGGAATTGAGTTTAGTCCATTTATTTCTTGTTATGCATAAAATATATTGCGTTATAGGTATATCAACCATATATATATATATAGATTTTCAGTTATGTTCATGAAGTCCGGAATTCCTTAAATCATTGGAAACATATATTTTAATTTTTTAAATATAACAAACGAATGTTTTAAAAGGTATTTTTTTCGTTTTAACCCAGTGGTTTTTACAACGTTCAAAGGCCAGCAACGCACCCGCGACTGTCCTTTTTGGGCGTCCTGTTGTTGGCCCCTCTATGCAATATAAAAAATTACGACAGCCTCTGGTATCTAGACGTTTTTATAATCTCGATAAAGTTCGTTCAATTTCCGTAGCCCTGATGATGCGATCTTGGGAGCGGTACAAGGATGAATGATGATGATGTTGAAGTACATATACCCCCATAAACGCTTGGATACCGTTACTTAGGATTTTATGGAACCAATTTAGACAAATTATGTTAGTTATTTCGACTATGTATTTGCGTGTTGTTCCCACGAGAATGTAAGTGCGTGCTCCTATTTCACCATGCCTCCTGCTGATAGAGGACAAATCTTTGTTTTTAATTTACTTTATTATTATTTATTACTTAAGATGTCGTGTGGAACATGGTGTAATGGTTGCAGCTCCTTACAAACGTTGTGTAAAACAAAAAACTAGGCGATTAAAGAGTTTATTGGTTAATTAATAATTGGTTAGTGATTGGCGATTAAAGTGGCCAAGAGTTTATTGCCAGTTCTTCTGTTCCGTTCTACGCCCTTGATTTGAGAACTGGCAGTAAATGTAAAATTAGAAGCATGTAAAGTATATTTCTTTTTTGACGTTCATAAGTGTACATTGTGTTACCTATATGAATAAATGATTTTTGACATTTGACAAGACTGAATAAATTGCCATACTTCTCGTTCACGTTTCTTTCGTTTTCTTCTCTTCTTTCTTTTAATAAGTCGGTAAGAAAATCTCATCGAATCGCTTCGGGGGAAAAAATTGTCCAAGTAAGCCTTTAAAATGTTAAGACTAAATTTAGCCTTTAGCCGTTAGCTGTAATTTGTCAATGAAATTTTCTATTTATTTACACTTCGTAGTAACACAGAAATACAGTACAATTAAAATAATTAAATAAAAAGAGGGCAATTGGACCTATCGCTTTCCAGCGATCTCTTTCAGGCAACCACTGATTCTAAGTTGTACGATAAGCGATATAACTGAATTATGGGACTGAGCGATTTAAATTTAAAAAACCTAAATAGACCATTTATTGCTTGTTATGCATAAAATATATTGCGTTATAGGTATATCAACCAAATATATAGATTTTTAGTTATGATCTTGAAGTCCGGAATTCCTTTAAATCCTTCAATTCCTTGGAATTCCTTTTCTTCCGGAAGTAGAATAGACCTAGTAGACTCAAGTAAAAATACTTAAACACTTGTTTTATTAATATTTAATCAGAAATATGTAGATCTAAATTTAAGAAAAGAGCGTATAATTCTGGCAATGTGTCCATAGGTGGCGGTACTTAAGTACCTACCGCCACATCGGGTGAGCCTCCTGTCCGTTATATAAAAAAAAACCACTTTCACGCTTAACAATTTTTTAATTACTTCGAAAACGGGTTAAAACACGTTAGCACGAAAAATCCACAAATTGTTGGCAATTGGCAACTAGCTTGCAAGTAGACGGGGGTAATGACCTCCCCACACCATTGCAAGGCCGCCCAGGGCCGAATTCTACGCGTAGTCATGGCAATTGCGTGGGCGAGCGTTGCGATAGTAATACCACCCTCCACCCTGAACAATATTCGGCAATCCAGCGCCTTTCAATACGAATCGTACTAAATCTTTAGAACCCGTTTAGGCTTTTGTCAGATTCTTGATTTTATCTTGTTCATTGGTTTATCTGAATATTTCTTGTGGCGTGTAGGTGTTAAATACTTCTATTTTTTATTGTTATTTAGTTATATTAAAAGGTTTTACTCTTTTAGAAATTATAACATTATTTAAGGTATTATACGCAAGCAGTGAAATTTTAATATCAGATTTCGTGTTATCAAATACATTTCCGTCAGATTCTACATGACGAGACAGCGCCACTTCAATTTTATCAATTAAAGTGCCATGAGGTGGCTAATAAATCGTAATGAACATTTTAATACAAATAGTTTATAGGTCAATTACATAACAGTTTTAAAATGAACGGGTATAAACCAGCTGAATTTTTCAAATTTCGTCTGTAAAATCCTAGGAGTTCGTCACCTCTCATTCGAATTCTTCGCGAATATAACAGAATAAACACAACTTATCCATAGCTTGATATATTCGGTAGTGGGCTGATTTAAAAAAAGCATTGTTAAGCAAAAAATTACTAGTAAAAACTAAAATTGGAAGTGTAATATTTTTTTTTTGTTTGTAAAATTTATGTTCACCATAATAGTCATATTATAGTATAAAATAACTAGTAACATATACTATATAAAATGTATTATATATGAGGTTGTGTACTTTATTAAATAAACATTGAGAAATGCTTACAGCCGGTAAAACTCTATTCAAACCGAAAGAAGCCAAACAAATAATTCCATCAACAAAATTGTTTATGAAAAAACGTTTCTAATCCGTCCCCGGGCTCGCTATTTGTGTTCGGGCCTCAAACTCCCTTCCTCCCCCACCGCCCCCGGCCCTTTAGAACTAGCATTCACTGTTCAATCTATTATAAATCATATTTTAGGAATAAGACTTGCTTGTCGACGGATAAAATATCGTAAATTCCTTTAAAAGTCGACTTAACAAATAATAAAGATATTTGAATCGGTTCAATATTCATAAAATAATATATTATAAGTATTAATAAATTTTATGTTTAAAAATGCCATGACACAGTTCATTCGGAGCTGAGTCGAATTATTGGACACCGTCATCATCATCAATGACTGGTACAGCCTCTTGGGGCTATATATCTGGTGCTTGCGTCCAAATTCGAACACCTATTGCTTTGAGGTCCTTGACAACTCCAACCCGCTTACACCTCGGTCTACTGAGTTCTAGGGTTCTGTCATCCGCCATTCGGTGCACATGTCATCTAAATCAGCCTTGAATTTTATGAATTGGATGATGCTGGCGTCGTGAAGGATGTTATAAAGTTCTTCATTAAAGCAAGTAAACAAACGCTGGACACCAATTATCAAAATAAAAAAAACAGTAAATAGGTTTTGTTCTGAAGCAAATGATTAGCCTTCTGCGTCAATAATGAAATAACTAATACATCGAATTATAAGCCTCCTTGTTCCAGATTTTGAAGACGATGCTGGAAAATTTTACAAAAATTGTGCTTCTACCTATATAAAAATAGTACTACGAAGTACAGACTATGTTTAATGTACCCGCGTTTGTATTGAATTACGTATAGGATA